AATAAGTCTACCGACCACTTCATAAATCTACCACTACTACAAATAAGTCTACCACTACTACGAATAAGTCTACCACATATTATAAATCTACCACAACTATGAATAAGTCTACCATCGCGTACACCGTAATAAGTCTACCAGACGTTTAATAAGTCTACCGTAACAGAATGGTAGACTTATTTAATTTTGGCGGGAAAAAATTTCTGCTTCATTAATGGCAGTTTCGTAAATACGTTTTTTGTCTTCAAATGAAATAAGGTTAACATAGGAATTAAATATTTTTCAAGGTCATTCTAATAATATTCAAAGATAGAGGTCATTCTAGTCCAAATCTTTGTTTGTCAAGGTCATTCTAGTAAATCTCCCTTAAATAAACACTCACAAGAATTTCAAACAACAAGATACCAAAACAAAAACCAAAGAAGTACAATTCAACAAAACAGAATACAAAGTACAGACCTTTTAGAAGAAACAGACCTGAATGTTTTGTTTTTTGTTTTCTTGCAATCAAATACAAATATAAAGATCCAATATTATTTTGCTTTGTGCTCATTAGTTTGTGGGACGAATCGCAACACCTTTAACGACGAGGCCAAATTTCTTGTCAGTATCTACATGCTGATACATGGTGAATGTTATCTTTCCCCATGAGTTTTTTGGAGGCGTCACGAAAGCTCCAGCTAGAATATCGACCCAACCATGGCCTATGTAGTGCCTTAAGTCCGATGTTCGATCTTTCCGTTTTTCGCTCCCACCTTCTAGTTCCACCTTAAGCTTTAGCGTGACTGGTTGCTCCCATCCAGCCGCATCATCTTCTAACTTTGCTACAAACACCACCTCGTACTTTGTTTCTGGTATTAGATCCCCCGTCTCCAAACTTCCGAACATCTTTAGCCAGTAAATTTTGATCATCGTCACAACTTCAATAGAGGCATAGCTGGAAAACATAATCAAATCAATCATAGACGAAAATTAGAAATGTCCAAAAAAAAGAAAAAAAATACCACTCTTTAGGAAGAAAAAATAGGGAGGAATACAAAAATACCACTTATATTTACACATACTGCAAAAAAAATACCATAAATTCCTGCTCTTTTTCAAAACTACCATTATTTTAGATATCAATTGACTATTTTATCTTCATAATTAGTTAAAAAATTTAAAATATATATATTGAAAATTATTGATCTTAAAAAATATATAGTAAGCTAAATTAACAGTTAGTTGTTGTAGGAAAAGTGATTTTAAACGTTAACAGTCAACGATATTTTTGAGAAATAAGTTCGTCAGAAATGGTCTTTGATAAAAAAAAAAATTTTAAATGTTGTAATTAGTATCCAATTGTTTTAGATATATGACCAAAATAGCTTGACTTTTTTTTTTATTACGAAACTAAACTGGAATGATGAGCGAAACAAACGAATAAGCCAATAAGGTGACAAAAATGATAATATGTACGTATGCAATAAATATTAGCTTTGTTAAACTGATTTTTTTTTTTCATTTGAGAAAATTTTCATTTAAGAGATTTGTAGATTGCAATTTATAAAAAAAGAGTCCCCTTAAATAAATCTTACTCTGGCGCCTCGCTAATAGAACTCCAGACCCATTTTTTAGAGTCCTCGGAATGAGTGATTGTTAGTAGCCTTGCAGGGACCATGGACCCTCCTTGACGATTCACTACTCTTTCTAGCTGTCTTGTAGGGACCATGGCAGCTTCTTGACGATTCGGTCCTGTTGCTCTGTTTCCTCTCATGGCCATATCTGCGAGCAATTTTTTAATCTTGACGACTAACAAGCTTATGAATTCGTGATCAGTCCTGTCACTGCGATACCATACAAGTGATAGATGTCAAAACCTTGTTCTTTCTATTTATTTGGTTCTACAAAAAACATGCATCCCGGTTTGGTCTGAAATCAGAATATGAATTTGCAACTTACTTTAGAGTTTAGACATACCAAGAACTTAAGATTCTAGATGTACCTACTTGGCTACTTATTTAATTAGTCTAGATTTAATTTTGGTATATTCATCTATTACAAAGAAAGCAGAAAATAAGAGACCAAAAGAAAAATCTCTTAAGAAGCAGGCAAAATGTAAACTCGTTTTTTCCTGGTTCAACTAACGCTGAAAACAAAACAAATAACATGCATGTCTTAACTAGAATTAGTCGGACTTCGGTCTAGATCATCCGAGTTATTTCGGATAAAGGAGGGACCAAAAAAAATTACCTTTGTTCTGACCGGGGCATGCCTTTTATATCAGGAATAGACACTAAAGCTTCCTCCCATTCCTGAGTTCTTTTTGGCTGATGTAGATGCTTAAGCTTAAGATCCCTGAAGCTATCGCCAAACTCTAATCTAAGTTGTTTCACGACGGAAGTATCCAGATTGTAGAATATGGGAATCGCTATGAGACGACCTTGATCCTTGCGTTCCTTTATCTTGGCCAGCTCGTCCAAGCACCAAGCTGAATCGGCGTAATTCTTTGAAAAGATTACTAGTGCGATCTCGGACTGTACTATCTCCGTCAACAAGTAGGCTAGGTCTGTGCCTAATGGCAAATCGTCGTCTGTGAAGACATTTATGTTCGCACTTCTCAAGGCAGGGGCTAGAAAGCTTACGAAGTTGTTACGCACATCATCTCCGCGGAAATTGATGAACACTTGAGGCCCCGTTGGGGTTGTAACCCATGAAGAAGCAGCCATGAGAGAGCTTTTTTGGGTGGAAGAAAGCAAAAGGATGTTTTGGTTGATTCTTGTTAATTTGACACTTTTGTGTTTTAGTCAAGATGCTTGCTTTTGGCCAATAAAGCTAATCGGACAACCTTCATTTATGCATATGCTTGAACCCATTAAATAATTAAATATATAAAGGGACTATGTCAACATGTGGTTTATTAACCAGCAACCCGCGTTGCTACGATAGAAACCGCGTAAGTTTTCTTAGATAATTTTTGAGTTAAAACCCATAAAATTTTGATAATATCTTTAATTGGTAATAATTACATCAAATATATATATTACATAAATTAACCACTACCCATGATTGTTCTGTCGTCAACACTAAAGTTTTATTGTAATCGATAATGAAGGTGTGTATATATGTTTGTTAACATACCAAAAAAAAGAAGAGAAGGCCCTTCCATCAGGTTGTGAAACTGCTTCTGATCACGATTTAGGTGTTGCTCGTCATTTCATTTTTTTTTTAAGATCTTGGAAGTTCCGGATGTTTGATCCATAATCTCCCCCAGTGTTCGGGACCAGGCGTTGATAATACCGCATTTAAAACGTAAATCATCCCTCCCAAGTGAAGTTAAACTAGTGACCTTGAACTTGAAAATTTACTCTCAATAACACTAGCCCACCAACCACTTGATACTTAAATGGTTAGTTTAAGGTTAGTTTCTTGGCTACGAGAACTTGAGAATTTACTCTTCTTTTCATTTTTTCTGGTTTCTTTATCCTTTTCGAGTTTTTAGGTTGTTTATGGTTAGTTTCTTAGTTCTTAGAAACTACCGATTGATTGTATTTTCATGTTTTAAAAACCTTTTTGCCATAAAAATTTTAGAGTTATTGAAATAAAATTGTAAATTATTTAAATATGTTTCTTTCATTTGTAGATATTTTGTTCTTTCTTATTCTTCTCCAAATTTAATATATAAAAACATATTTGTATTCTATGATTTCCGGCCTATTAAAAAAAAAGGAAGAAGAATTTTATGTACAAAATATTACTTTCAAATGGTGTAATTTTGAGGAATGAAACAAAATGTACTATTCCGTTTCATTATTTGATCACAATTTAGAGTCTACAAAGATTCGATTCATGAACTTGACCGACGCGAATCAAAACAATTTAAAAACATAACCACCACTTGCAATACAAAACTGACTTGTGTCATATATAACGGTTATGTAAATATTAAAATGTCCAATTATAAGATGATAATTACAGTATATAGAGTATCAGTGGTTCCCGAAGTCTACTCTAAGAAAGTCTTTCCTTGTATTAAACTGTAGAGTTCAATCGTCTAAGAAGTAAGAACTCTTCAAACTTTTTCATTTAATTATATATACAATACCCAACTGTCGACTTAAAAAATTTTAAAAAACGTCGAGGAAGTAATATATATCTACAATATAATTCTTGAAACTTTCAAAAACATCTTCTTCAATTAGATGGCAAAGTTATAGAGTACAAACTATTTAAAAGATACCATCAGATCCGAGAGGCCGAGTACTTGACCTGTAAGGGCATGTGCAATGGTGTTTTTTAAGCAAGTTCTTAAAATATAAAATTATTAAAATTTGAGTAAAAAGAAGAAAGAGAGTGTTTTTATGGGATGTATTGAGTAAAAAGAGGAGATAGTGGATGTGTTTAAATATAAATTAATAAAAGTTGAATAAAAGAAAAAGAGAGTGTTTTTAAATAAGAACTTTTGGAGAGTGTTCTTAAAATGATGAGAGAGTGTTTAAATATAAAATTAATAAAAMTTYAGTAAAATGATGAAAYAYAAAYTAAAAAYTWGASTAAAAYGAAYAMAYAGTGTGTGTTTTAATAATTTTATATTTAAGAACTTGGCCTAAGAACATACTAAAAACATGCATTTTACATGGCCTAACGAAAACATATTGGTTATTGGATCCACAATCTCAAATCCT